CGGGGTGCCCCAGCCTGTGCTCTAACTGGGGTGCATTCCTCCAGCTTCTCAGGGGTCTGTGACTGGCCACACATGGGCAGAGGGCGAAGAGAAAAATCATTCCCAGGGCCGGGAGTTGTGTGTCTCTGCAGGACTGCGGGGCCGGGAGGGGTGGGGGAGGAGGCAGCCGCTCCTGGCTGCTATTTAGAGCCCGGGGAGCCCCCAGGAGCAGCGGCCTAGGCAGAGGCCTGTAAGCGGAGCCGGAGGGGCCACGCCTGCCCCGCCCCCACCCGTGGCCTCATGTCTAAATAAGGCTCTGTGCACATTCTAGGCAGCTAAAAATAAACTCGCCCCCCCTGCCCTGGGGCTCCATAGACCTCCCCTTAGTGGGGCTGCTCGGAGGGCACCGCCTGTGGGGCTCAGGGGCCTGTCTCGGGGCCTGGGGGTTGGGGGTCAGGGCGTTTCCTGCAGACCTGCCTGGCGAGGCTGGGCCAGGCCTCGCTGAGCCTCAGTCTCCCGCTGCCGGCCCTCAGGCGCGGCTGCCAGGGCTCAGGCAAAGCCGGGGCCACAGGGCAGCCTCGGCCCCCGGGCGCCTGGAGCGTGCCTGCCCACGGTTATTTTTAGCTCACGGGAGTGTTTTACGACCATCTGAACTGGCTGCTCATCCTTGGGGCTTCGAAGAATTCACAGGGACGCAAATACCCAGCTCCTGCAGACTCAGGTCTGCCCCAGCCTGGCGTCTGCAGCTGTGGCCCTGGCGGTGAGGGCTGCCGCTGCCGCGCGCTGGTGGAGGGGAGCACTGCAGGCCCCCCACGCTGTCCCGGCCAGCAGCTAGAGCCCCTCCCTCTCTATGCCCAGGAGCCCGTCCCCGCAAGGACAGACAGCAGAGAGGGTGTTTTGGAACAGGCAGGGCCTGGGGTGGGGTGGGAGGTGGTGCTGCCCTGCTTGGGTCCTGCCAGTTCTTAGAAAGGACAGGCGATCACACCCCCTTCAACCCAGGCCCCGCAGGACAGCTGGGACAGCCTTCTCTTGGGATTGCCCGGGTCTCCTGAGAAGTCGGCAGGATGGTCTTTGGTTGGAAAATGGCCGGGTTCCACTGAGCCCAGCGTGGGGCAGCCATGGAAGGGGGCCAGGGCCTAAGAGGGGCGCTCCCCAGGCAGTGCCACGAGCTCCAGTCACAGCATCAGGCTGACCCCAGGCGTCAGGGCTGCGTATGGACAGGCAGGGCAAGGCGTGGGGCTGAGGCCTGAACAATGAGGCTTTGTCCCTGCTGCTGCCTCAGTCAACACGGGGGAGAGCAGGGAGTCCTGGGGAGGGACTGTCACGGGACCGAGCGCCACCCCTGCCACTCGGGGCCTGCCCAGCTCGGGGGTGCGGTTCTGCAGTGCAGTTCTGGGAACCCGAGGCCTGCTGGGTCGGGATCTGCATCTCCACAGCAGCTCTGCGGAATCTCAGCTCCAGGCTCAGGCTCAGGCTTGAAGGCTCGAGGAGAGACAGCCCTCCGGAGCCTGGGCTGCCCAGGGCCTCAGACCAGCTCCCCAGCACTCCAGCCAGACCGGCCTGCCCGACCAGTTGCATCGCTCCGCCCCCTGCACTGGCACCCCCTGGTGGCTCAGGTTCCCGAGGGGCGGTGAGAAGGCAGGGCTCCCACCCAGGCAGCCCTGCTCAGAGGAGCGCCCTCAGCCTGGGGCCACCGGCCAGCGGCCAGGGGCTGGTCGGGGCTGGGGACCGGCCTGGCTGCTTAGCTGTACTCCTCGCGCCTCTCCAGGGACCCTGAGGATTCGGCCTTGAGCCTACCTGCCTGCAGATGGGAGCAGGCTGGGAGGCAAAAGGCATTGCTTAAAGTTCGTGACCTTGGTTTGGAGGGGTGCGGCCTGGAGAGCTGGGTCCTTAGGATACCCCCAGGGAAAGTGTCCGCAGAGCGCCCCTTCCAGCGGCACCAGCGAGCTTCTCACGGGTGTATCCAAAAGGGCAGGTTTACTATAAGAGGGGTGGGGGGCGGGGGGGGGGCAGGGGAAGAGTGAAGGACGCTGTGAAAGGTCTCAGCAGGGGCCAGGAATGAGGAAACCCACAGAGAAAAAAAAAAAAACAAGATGCCCTGACGCCAGGACCCCTGATATGATCCCATCAAGCTGAAACTAAAGCCATGAGCAGGAGAAAAACAACTCGGCTCCACGAAAAACTACTTTGGCCTAAACCTGCTCCCCGTCACCAACCCAGTTTTCCTGCCTCACCTCTCCTCACCCTATGAAAGGACATGTCCCCCCACAACGGGCGCGACCGTGGGGGTCGGCAAATCTCGCCTGGGGCACAACAAAGTTTCTGCCTGTTAGAAACTGGCCTGGCTCTCCTTCTCTTCACGGCGCCGAACCTTTCAGCTTGCAGGGACACCAGCGGGCAGGAGACACGGCCCCGAAAGGGAGGTTTGGGGAGAGAGACTGGGTAGTCGGGGGCGGCAGGACGCAGCTGGGCCAGGGCAGAGACTGCCTGAAGGAGTCGTCTCTCTGGGGGCTCACTCCCTGGTGGAGGGTGGACTTTCGTCAACCTAGTTACTCCCACGGCGTGGCTAGGCTGAAGGTGAGGACCAAGGTGAAAGGTTCGGCGCGGTGAAGACAAGGAGAGCCAGGCTGCATTTCTCAAAGGGAGGGAAAGTTCATTGCGCCCCGGTGGACCTCACGCACCCAAGGTGGGGGTCCGTGAAGCCGCGCACATTGTTAGGGGGAAGCAGGGTTTTATAGGGCGAGGAGAGGTCAGGTGGGTAGTTGGGCTCGTATGGCGGGAAAAGTTTGTGGGGCAGGTAGAGGTTTTTTGTCTGAGAAGAGACTCGTAGGGGGAGGGGGGAGGCTCATTGTCCTCCAGGCAGGTATCTGCATTCCTGCCCCCCAGGTGGGCTTCTTGGCTGGCTCCTGCATTCCGGCCCCCTGCATGGACCTTTCACAAGGAGCCTCTACAAGCACCCCTCCTCCACCCCCCATACCCTGCGGGTCTGCTAGACTTAAGCGACCTGCTCAGCCACCATTATGGTTCCCTGCAGTTCTGCGTTCCTATGGAAAGGTCAGCACTGTCCAGTCACAGTCATGTGAGCCAAACCTTGCAAGGCGCCTTCCATATCAATCAAGAGCAGAAAGCCTGATCACTCTGGGAAGGGTGTGCATCAAGAGGTATGACCGGGAACGCCCAGGGGGCCGAGGACCCATGTCTGACAAGGGACCCCAGAAGCTGATCAGTGGAATGCTCCTGTAGGCGGCGCTACCCATGCCATCTCTTGACAAGGTCCGGGCATTGGGGGAGACTCCCGAAAACAGGGGAGTTCTGCACTTCCCAGAAGAGCTGAATAAGGAGTTTCCACAGCAACACCTACTAATGCTCTCCTGTGTGTTCTTGGTTAATGCAAAAGTAAGTTAGTTATAAATCGGCTTGTGAAAACCTAATTTGGACCTAGGCATTCATTGGCCTATTGTTCTTATGCTTGAATCATTACTAACGAAAGTAAAAATTGCTAAAGGTATAGCCAGGAAAGAAACGTTTCGGCCCTGAGAACTATGGCGCACAAGCCGCCCTGAGCCAGCTGTGCCTGGAAGCCATGGCCTAACCGGGGGTAGTGTTTGCAGCAGAAGTAGCCTGCGGGCCGTGGGGAGGTTGGGTATTTCCAGTTAAGGGTTAGACGTCTGTAGGATTAAACGGATCTGATGAGTTACTTCAGGCCACTTTGAAGTGATTGATAAATTAGCTGGATTATCCGTGTGCTGGGGAGACGGGCTGACTTTAGTAACAGACATAGGCAGGACGCTCGCCCGCTCCCAGACGGGAGGGTTCGGTAGGACGATTCACGGTCAGCGAATACTGTGCTGCCTTGGAGGGGTGACCCTGCTGGGCGATGAGGGGCACCAGGAAAGTAATTGTCGCTGGTTTTGTTAGGGAAAAAGGCTGTCCCAAAGCTAATTCCATACAGGCTTTGTGGACTCCACCCCCACCCTAGGTCAAAGTCAAAGACACTGGGAACTCAAAATCCCATCATCACCCAAGGGAAGGTGGCTGGGACCTGCGGGTGGGGTTCAGCAGCCAGGTGGATACAAAAGGCAGACACGTGGGCTTTGGGGGTCCCCCATGTTGGCTCCCCGCCAGCTCGCAGCGTCTGGCCAGCTCGGAGAGTGCCTTTGGGCTTCCAGGTCAGCGGATCGGGTAGGACGCATGAAAGACTTTATTTCCCTATTTTCTCCCTGAGTTGTCCATTTTCCTTATTTCCTTTTCTCTTGTGAATAAACCTTTTATGAACCTTTGTGTGTGCCTGCCGTGGAGTGTTCACAAGTCCCTTTAAAGCGCGCGGGTGAGGACCCACAGCCAGGAACCCGTTTAATATCGGGGCTGCCCTATAACAGTTTTTCTTAAGGTGACCGAGGAAGCGCCCTTGGGGCCCGAGCCCGAGGGTCTCTACGAGTTCGCGAGTTCGCGTCTCTGTCTGGCCTCAGCGCCCGTGCAGCTGCCGCCTCCCGCCTGACTGCGCAGGACATCCGGGGCCGGCGGGGGACCCTGCGCGGGGGGTGTCTGGGCCCCCGGGCGTCTCCTCCTTCCAGGGCCCCGCGGCGCGCCCGGAGGGTGGGCCGGGCCCGTGGGGGGTCAGGGTGCGCCGGGGGCAGCGCGCGGCCAGGGGCGGGGACAGGCCGGGGCTTGGGGGGCACACCCGGGGCTCCCCGCGCCCACGCCGCAGCCCGGCCAGCCCCGCCCCTTCCCCGCCCCGCCCCAGTCAAGCTCCGCCCCCTTCCTCCCGCCAGGCAACGGCCAGCCACGCCCCTTCCGCCCCGGCCCCGCCCCGCCCCGCTCATGCTCCGCCCCCTTCCACCCCCTTCCGCCCCGCCAGGCACGGGCCAGCCCCGCCCCTTCCGCCCCGGCCCCGCCCCGTCCAAGCCCCGCCCCTTCCCCTGGTCCGCCCTGGGCGGGGCCGGCGCGCCGTGCGTCCCCGCGTCCCGAGCACCCCTTTAAAGCGCGCCCGGCCGCCGCGCGCCCCCGACGCGGCCCCCGCGATGCGCCCCCCGCCGCGCCCCCCGCTGCGCGCCGCGCTCCTGGCCGCGCTGGGCCTGCTGCTCGCCCGCGCCGCCGCGCCGGCCCGCGGGGCCCTGCGCCGGGTGAGCCGCGGGGGGCGGGCGCGGGGGGCGGGCGCGGGGGCCTCGGCCCGGACCCGCCGCCGACCGTGCGCCCCGGCGGCCCAGGGCGGGCCTCGCGCGCCTCGCGGCCGGGCCCTCCGCGGCGCCTGGAAACGCGCGGGAGCAGCGGCGGGCGCGGGGGCCGGGGGCGAGGGCCAGGGCCGCGGGGGCGGCTTCCCCGGCCGGGGCCGGCCCGGGGCCGCGGGGGCGCCCCAGCGCCGCGGGCGGGGGCCGGGTCCAGGGCGCCCCAGCGCCGCGGGCGGGGGCCGGGTCCAGGGCGCCCCAGCGCCGCGGGCGGGGAGGGCCTCACCGCGGGGGTGAAGGGGCGCGCGCCCGGGTCCTTTGCCCGTGGAGCGCAGCCGGGGCCGGCGGCCCCCCTCGGCCGGCCGTGCGGGCCGGGGATGTTGTTCTGGCCCGCGGTGACCGCTATGGGGGGGGGCGGCTGGAGCCCAGCCGGCCGCCCCGGCTCCCGCCGCAGGCTCCAGGCCCGAGAGTGGGGGCGCACCCCACGTTGCGCTGTGATCTCCATCTGCGGTCACCCGGGTCTCGGGGCTCGTGGTAGGAGCCCCAGCCCCCCAGAGCTGGCCGGGCCGTGCTGGGGCGCCCCTGGCACCCGCGGACGCCGCGGGCTGGCGCGGTCCCTCCCTGGGCGCGCGCGGAGCCGAGCCGAGCCGTGAGCTTTGCCTCCCGGGAACTTTCGGGTGGTTTTAGGCTGGGGGCAGAGTCCCAGACGTGACAGCGGTCCCTGCTGCACACCCTTGTGGGAGCACACACGGCGTGTGCGTGTGTGTGCATGCGTGTGCGTGTGTGGAAGCTGAGAGCCCAGTGGGCCTTCCGCCACCTGCCCGCCGGCCTGGGGGCTGCACCACGGGCGGTTTCGGTTCCGTCCTGTCCCGTCCCGTGACAGCTGCTCCGGCTCCTGAGGAGGAAACGGAGCCTCCTGGGCTCACCTGCCTGTGGCCTCCGCGTGTGCAGCCCCGCTGCAGTCACAGCTGCTCCCGGGGCTGCCCGGCCCAGCGAGTCCGGGCCTTTCAGCACTGCAGAGGGGACCCTAATGCTCGGCCTCCAGGCCTCCCCTCTCCCGTGTTCACAGCCCTCCCCAGAGGGGAGCTCCCGCCGCCTCCCCTTCCAGCTCCCAGACGTGACCCTGCCGCCCTCCCATCTCCTCTGGGTCAGCCGCCCCGGCCTTGGCGTGCCAGGGCAGCGCCACTTCTCCCCACACGGGGCCTTTGCCCACACTCCCTGTGCCGGAACATTCTTTCCCTGGTGAGTCCAGGGCTGACTCCTCACCCCCAGGTGTTGCTTCCTCACCGCCCATTAGGCAGTCCCGTGTCATTCCCAGCATCACCCCTGTTCGTGCCCGGGTGCTGCTCGGGCCTGGGTGAGTAATGTTTCTGCCCTGGCCTGGAAGCTTCTCAGGGTAGGGCGGGAGCAGCCGTGCTTGCCGGACCTCGGCCACCGCTCCATAAATACTGTGAGTGAACGCTGAGCCTGTGCTGACTGGCACCCGCTGGGGGGCTGAGGGGCAGGCGCCCTGAGTCACCCCGGCCTGCCTTCTTGGTCCCAGCCCGGCCTTGCATTCCAGGAAGCTCAGGTGAAGGGGCGTCTGCCCCAGGCATGTGGGGAATCGCGTGGGGACGCCCACACTGTGGGGGCCGGCGGTCTGGGGACCTCAATGTGCAGGAGCTCTGCCCATGCCCACCTGCCCCAGCCGGAGACCTGCCTGGGCTGGGCCTGCCCGAGGAGCAGGTGGGGGCGGCTCACAGCTCAGCCGGGGGCCGAGGACTCGCCCGTCTCTCGTCCAGAGCCCACCCCAGGCTCAGCCTGTGGCGGGGGGAGGGGGGAGCTCCATCGGACCCTGCCGGACCAGCAGAGCCCCTCCTCTGGCCTCTCCCCCAGCACTGGCTGGGCCTCGGCTCACAGGCCAGGTGCTTGGCCCCCTGCCCCCAAAGGTTGTGGCCCCACAGCGGGGCCAAGCTGAAGAGCGAGGTCTTTTGGGCTCCCTGATGGGGCCAGCCGCATGGTCAGGTGCCTGTCGGGCTCTGGCTCTGGGTGTCCTGCCGTGGGGTCAGCCGGGCTGTGTGGTGGAGAGGTGGGCTTTGTAGCTGGCCCTTGGGGGCTGGGCGGTGTGAGCGGGCGCAGGGCAGCCACTGCAGTGGGAGGGGGCTGGGGCCCTGGCCAGGCAGTGGGGTCGTGGGCGGGTGGTGGGGTCAGGAGCCCTCAGGGTGTGGAGGAAGAGCGGTGACTCAGCTGAGGGGAGGAGGGTGCCCAGACAGGACCTGCGGGCGCCTGGGAGGGAGAAGGCCCCAGTGAGGACCGGCTATCAGCAAGTGGCCTGGGGGCGTTCCTGCTTGGCCTGTGTCCTCGGGAGGTGGTGCTGCCCAGTGTCAGGTCACACTGCTGGCCTTCTACCGACTTCCTGGGCTGGATTGGGCTTTGAGTGACCTGAACAAGCCGCTGGGAATGGGCTGCAAGGTGGGTCCTCCAGGAATCTCCCAGGGACCCCCCCAAACCAGGAGGTGGGGGACAGGGAGATGTTTGCCAGGCTCCGACCTCGTGGGTCTCCCATTTGACTCTTAAGGCTGGTGTCCTGTGCTTCGTGGCTCATGGCGTCTTGTGGGAGACTGAATCTTTCTTACTCCTGCCTGAGAAGTAGATAGGGCCGTGTCATCCAGGTGCGGGTGTGGAGCTCCTGGTGTGGAGCCCCAGGTGTGTACGCTAGGTGTCTATTCCAGGTGCAGAGCTCCAGGTGTGGAGCTCCGCGTGAGGCTGGGACGGGCAGTGCCTTGCCAGGTCCCAGTGAGGCCAGTCCGTTGATTCTGCTTACGTGGGAGAGCTCATCTGGCCTTTTCTCTCCTTGCTGCCCCGTGTCCCCGCCAGGCCAGCAACTTCACCTGGGACAACTGTGATGAGGGGAAGGACCCGGCGGTGGTCACCAGCATGACCGTGGAGCCAGACCCCATCGCCGTTCCTGGAAACTTGACTGTCAGCGCTGAGGCCAAGACCAGCGTCCCCCTGCTCACTCCTCTGAAGGTGAGCTGGGTGCGGGGCAGGGAAGGGTCCGCCAGAGGCTAGAGTCCCAGGCAGCAAGGGACGCGGCTCCCTCTCGGGCTCAGACTCTGGGACGGTCGGGTCACGGAGCTGAGAGGGCGCGAGGTGTGGCCTGGGCTGTGGTGGTGGAGGGGCTCCCTCACTGCGACGGTGGGCGTGCTCCCTCCAGACAGCCCGGGCGGGTGCTGGCCCCTGGGCGGAGGGTCCAGCACGTCAGCGTCGTGCAGGCTGTTCCCTGGGATTTCTCCCACGGTCACAGCGCGTCCTCGTAAACAGGGCACGTGCACACTCAGTGTGCCCCTGAGCCGTGCCCCGCCGACCTCCAGAGGGCCGTCCTGCCTGTGTCCATGGGCATCAGGGCATGTGCGGGCCGGCAGTGGGGCCAGGTGCCTCGCGGCCCTGACCCCCCAGGGGCTGCACTCCAGGTGTGCCAGCGGCACCCTGTGCCAGGGGAAGGGCTGCCTCGCAGAGGTGGGGCCGGTGACTCTGAATGTCCTGTGCTCTCTCGGCAGGTGGAGCTGACCGTGGAGAAGGAGGTGGCGGGCATCTGGGTGAAAATCCCGTGCGTGGAGCAGATGGGCAGCTGCACCTACGAGAACATCTGCGACATGCTGGACACGCTCATCCCCCCCGGGCACCCCTGCCCGGGGCTCCTGCACACCTACGGGCTGCCCTGCCACTGCCCCTTCAAAGCCGTGAGTACCAGAGGGGCCCTGGCTGGGGCGGAGGGGAGGTGCGGGGGTCCCGTCAGCCCCACAGATGTGCATGTCTGTGGGTGTGTGTTGCTGCTCTTTGAGGGGCCTCAGTCTGTCCACAGGGGTGCGGGGGCCTGACCGTGGCGCCGGCGGCTGGCCGGGAAGGGTGGCCTGCAGGACCCGCTGACGCCCGCTTCCCACAGGGCACCTATGCGCTGCCCAGGAGCGATTTCACACTGCCCGACTTGGAGCTGCCCGGCTGGCTCAGTAGCGGCCACTACCGCGTCCAGGGCGTCCTCAGCAGCGGCCAGCGACTGGGCTGCGTCAAGGTCTCCTTCTCCCTGAAGGGCAAATGATGGTGCCACGGCAGGCCCCATGGGGTGGGCACCACCTGGTCCCAGGTGCATGGCCAGGCCGCACGCGACTCTGCCCCTCGGGCCCCCACTTCAGTGCCACCAGCCCCTCGCTGCCTCCCCGCCGCAGCCCTGCCGGGCCAGCAGCCGCCCTCCACGCTGCTGCTCCCTCCTTCGCTCTCTCCTGCCCAGCAAGGGTGGGCCTGCGTGCCATGATCTGGCTCACGCTGGCCGTCCCCAGCCTGCTGTGGCCCTCTGCTGCCCACCACTGTGGGGCGGCCACTAACGCCAGCGCACTAACCCCTCCCCGTCTCACCAGCCCCGCCCCGGGTGAGGGGCCTCGGATCGAGTCTCCTCCCTGATCTTCTGCGACGAGTTCACGCTTCTGTCCTGGACTGACCTGGCTGACAGCAGCCGCTGCACCCCAGCAGGCGGGGTGAGGGGGACGGGGGCGCCTCTGCCCTCTGACCTTTACACGGATCCTCTGCCTGGCACCAGGCGGCCCAGCCGTCTCCCTGGGGACTGGGCTGGCTGGGGCACCGGGGCCACCTGCTCCAGGACAGCTGCTGGGGCTCTGTACCCCGCTGGTGCCACATGATGGTGTTGGGGTTCCTTTTGCCAAATATTCTCAATGTTTTTCCCTGGAGGTACCAGAAATCCAGACTTTTATATGTAATCTTAAAAATCTTACATCTTTGCATATTGGCAACTGGTTGTTTTTGGAAACACCGTCCTGGCCCGAGAGACAGAAGCCTCGTGGCGGGGCGGCGTGTGCGCCCACCTCCCAGCAGCCTCTGCTGCGCCCGCGGGCCTGGAGGTGGCATCTGGCGCTCTGAGGGGCAGGTAGCTGGAGAGCCGTGGCCAGCACCCAGCCCCGCGCAGCCTGCGTGGCAATAAACCTGACCTGCTGAGAGCCGCCTCTGGGATTCCGGGAGCGACTGTGGGGTGCTGCTGGGGCCGGGGGCAGCTTCGGGGCTGACTCAGGGACTGCCGGCTTCGTCAACCCCCCCATCGTTCCTCCTTTGTACCCGCTCCCGCCACCTCTGCCCCTGCGCTGGCTGGAGCGCTTTCACCCCACATCTCAGCACCCGCTTCTGCTGGGCCTGGGTTCTGGGGCCAGGCCCCCGGGCCCCAGCGGGAGGGCCTGAGAAGTCGCAAGTCACAGGCAGAGGGGGCTTAATACGCCTGCTGAGCCAAGGGGATGCCTCGGGAGTGGAGGCGGGGTGCACAGGGTGACCGCACGGAGAAGTCTCGGGGAGGGCCCAGAGGCAGTGAAGGGCAGATAGACGTGGATCCCCAAAAACAAAGCGATTGCTTGGCGAAAGCACCGTAAACTCAGAGCGCTGGGAAAGCATCTGTAGCTCACGTTGTAGACCGAGGATCCCGCCCCCTCTTACTGCAGTAGGGTAAAATTTGTGGAATATAAACGGAAAAAAGCAAAGGAACGAACAAAGCAAAGGCAAACCCTGACTGCAGAGCGTGGGGGGGTGTGGGGGCGCTGGCAGGGGGGGATGGTGGCATCGGTTGGCGGGTGAGGTGTGATGTGGACAGGTGCTGAGGTGAGAAAAACTGCTGTAAACTGATGTCATCGCAATGAAAAAAAAGATTTAGGAAGTGAAAATTACAGGACAAAGGACCGAAAACTTGATGGGGAGAGCGGGGAAAGGTAATGAGGGGCCGTCTCTCTCGCCCTCTGTTCCCCACACAAATGGCCCGGAAACACCGGAAGGCGCCGTCCCGCGGAGGGGGGGCCCGCGGGGACCCTCCTGGGCTGAGGGGCAAGTCGGCACCCACAGCAGTGCAGCAGGGTCACCTCCCGGGACAGCACCCCCTGCCCAGGGTCTGCCCGGTGCTGGGCTGGGGCGCCAGACGGGGGCGGGGTGGGGGGGGCACGTGCAGACGAGGGGGTGCGCAGACAAGGGGACGGGCAGACAAGGATGCGCTTAGACGAGGGGCGCAGGGTGTCCGGGACACGCTAAAGGCGCGAGGCGGCGGGATGTGTCCGGCGCTGCTGCTGGGCCAGGAGGGGGCTCGGCCCCGCTGCACCGAGTCAGACGGATGAGCTGAGCTATTTGGGGGTGGGGCAGGCCGCGGGGAGGGGCGCCCCCCGTGACGGCGCCTCCCGTGCCAGACACCTTCGCAGGAACCCGCCGAGCGCTCTGGGGGGGACGGCCCGGGGGCCGCGGCGCAGGATCACCCCCGCAGGAGCCCCTGCAGCCCTGCCTGCCCAGCGCAGGCGCCCCCAGCGGAGCAGGGTGCTGTCGGGGGCGCGCCACCCCTCAGCGGTCAGAACCCTAGTACAGCAATGGGGTGAACCCCAAGCAAGGGGACGAGTGCATTAGGGACCCCCGAGGCTGACGCTGGGCTCGGGGCTGAACCCGGCTCCGCGCGGGTTGCCTCAGGGAGGCCGTGAGGGTCGGGTCCGAGGGCGCCTCCTGCGCGCGGTCACCACGGCTCACCCGGGGAGCTGCCGCGGCTGGGGTTCCCATTTGGAGGGCAAGAAGGACACACTCGGGAGCCAGCGCGGGGAGGTGGGTGCCCTGGGGCGGGGCGCAGGGGCGAGGCGGACTCCTGGGGTTTCCCTGCTCACCTGGGCACCTTCCCCGGCTCCTCAGGACCCTTGGTGGCGCCCCTGCTGCAGCCCACGGCTCAGGCCGGGCTGCGCCCCGATGCCCACACTCTTGGAGTTGCAGCTCCTGCTCGCCGTGGGATGAAGGGACTCGGGGATCGGGCTGACCAAGGGGCTGCTGCGGGGGCTCCCTCTGGTTCACCTCTTCCTTAGCTCCCTAGGAAAAGGCCAGCTGCAGGGGCGATGTCGGATGGGCTTGGGGGTGAAGCGCCCCGTTCTCCAGATCACTGCCTTCTGACGATAAAGCGCGCTGTGGACTCAGGCCCGCCCAGCTTCCCGCTGCCCAAGGGGGTGCACCAGCCCCGAGGCCCTGGCCTTCCTGTCTCTCCAGGGCGCTTTGGAAGAGCGTGGGTTTGAATTTTGATGGACCCCGTTTAGTAATTTCTCCTACGGATTGTGCCGTGGCGTCCCGGCTGAGCAGTCCTTGCCTAACCCGAGGCCGCTTTTCTTCCCCCTGTGACGTCTCCCGAAGGTGCCGTGGCCGTCTTAGGCCTGCTGTGTCCATCTGGGCCCCTGTAGAGCTGGCCTGGCCCGGCCTTTTAGGGCCAGGGTCCAGGTTCCACTTATGTCCTGTGTCTGGACGCCCAAGTTTTGTTCTTAAAAGGCAGCTGGTCTCGGCCCCCCGTGTCCCGGCCGGCTCCCTGCCGCTGAGTGTCTGCACATGGACACGCGCGTTTTGCCACCCTTGGGAGGCGCGGGGCGCGCCATTCACGGCGGAGCAGCCAGCATCCAGCTTCCCATCACCCCAGCGATGCAGCGACCTTTGCCAGCACAAGAGTCGTGAGAAAGATTCCCAGAATGAAATCAGCGGGCCGGCGGGGCATGTTGGCCCAGTGGGGCATGTTGGCCGTGCCCTCGCGCCTGCAAAGCCGTCCCCAAGCTCAGGGTAATTTTTGAGTAGGTTGCAGCCCCTGCACGTGGTGAGATCCTGCCCCCCAAACTGCTCAGCCCCTCAGCCCGCTGCGCGCCCGGCGACCTTAGACATCACAGGCGGAAGCGTGGCCTCCGGAGTGTGGGGGGCTGTAGGACGCGCTCGGCGCAGACGCCAGGAGGGGGCTTGCCCACCCCTGCAGGCCCCATCTCCACAGTGACGGCAGCTTGCTGGTGGGAGAGGCCTCTGTTTTCGCCCGTGGCTGGAGGGTGATGGAACTCGCTTTACCCACAGAAGCCAGAGCCTGCACCCCCCTTGCGCATCCTCCTCCCAGTGGGGCTGCGACTGTGGCGGAGCCCCCCCCCCACCTTGGCGCCTCTGGGCAGCTGCTGGGGCTCAAGGAGTCCTGGTGCACCCTCCCGCCCCCGCCTACCCCCACCCTCTGCTCTGGGACCCAGGCGGGGGGGCGCCCACCCCAGTGGGCCGCAGGCAAGGGCTGGGCTGCACCATGGCCGGGCTGGCTGGTGGGCCTGGCTCTGGCTCGGTTCTGAATGGCCACCAACGGCAGCACTCTGGCCTCTGCGCACGCGTCCTGCTTGCTGCGCCCGGCGGGCGTCTGTGACCCTCGGCTCACAGCAACCCCAGCAGCTGAAGACGCTGTAATCCTGGTGTTAGGGGGGGAAGCGGGGCGCAGGGGCCGCCCTCGTCCGGTTCTCACACTCAGCCCCATGTCTGAGGTGCCAGCGCCCCGTCCTCGGTCACGCCAGGGCCACGCCGGCTTCTCCACCCCAAGACCAAACCCCAGCTGACCGGCTGGGGGCAAGACTGACGAGGGCGCCGGGCGCCTGTCCTGGCACTCAGCTGGGCTCTTTCTGGGAGCGGGGCCGTCTGGCCCAGCAGCTCCAAGGGCCCCTCGGTGGTGGCTTGGCCTGGTGGGCCCTCCTTGGCCCTCCTCTGGGGTGGGGGGTTCTGTCTCCCTGGCGCGCCTCCCTCAGAGTGACACGCAGCTGCGCGGGACCCCACACCATGGGACACAGCGTTTATTGCTTCTCATGGCGCGGCGGCTCACGGGCAGTGCCGTGGCCTGGGCCAGCCAGACCAGGGTGGCTGGGGCCGGGGAGCACCCCTGAGCCTGTCGCCGGAAGGCCGGGCATGGGGGACGGCCCAGCTGGGAAGCCCCTTGTGTGGCCTCTCACCCGAGGGTGCCCGGCTGCTGCCTTGAGATCGAGGCTCCAGGGACAGCAGAGGGTGGCCCCTCCCAGGGTCTGCTGTCCCCCAGGCTCTGCATTGCCAGGTGGGACCAGACCCAAGGGTGGAGACGCAGACCCGGCCTGGCCGGAAGGGGCTGTGAAGTCACCACCACGAGGCCCAAGTGGCTCCCAGGACCCTGGGCGGCTTGGCACGCAGAAGGCAGCCGGGTGTGCTGGTGGGGACTCAGGGGTAGCCAGTGTCCTTGCCACCCTCTGCCCCGTGGGCACCAGCCGTCCCTCGCCAGGTTGCATTGTGCTCCCAGCCCCTCCCAGCCCCTCCGGCCTGCCGTGTCCTGTGGCCTGTGTTGTCTCGCCCAGGAGGTCTCCCCCTCGGAGCAGCCGCACAGGGGCACGGCTGTCCACTGCATCCCCGCGGCTCCACCTGGGTAGAGCCATCCCGGGTGCTGCCATCCCTGCAGCAGCTACAAGTGCCACACGCCCGCACACGCCCGCACACCCACACCTGTGCACATGCACACACCCGCACACACATGCGCACACCCGCACGCTGCGGGGTGACATCTGTGCGGATTTGCCAAGAAGTGGGCGGAGGCAGGCCTCGGGAAGGGGCGGCCAGTGAGGCTGGAGGGGGCGGCGAGGAGTAAGCAGCACAGCGGCGTCACCGTCTGCACCGGTGGCTGCGAGTCCTGGCTTTTCACCCACCGGGACTGCCCAGGGGAGGCCGCGCATCTGAGGCCTGGGCCGCGCTGGCCGGGATGGTGGGACGGGACGGGCCCTCCTCACTGGACAACAGCGGTGGAGTTGGCATGGGCGGGAGCACCGCCTGGCATGGCCAGCTCATACAGCGCCTGGTAGGTGCCCACCACAAAGCCCAGGAAGCCCAGCACGCTGATCAGGGCGTCCTTGGCGATGACCAGCGGGCTCAGGCCCTCGGAGTAGTAGGTGGCGATCTCCAGCAGGGGCGGGATGATGAGGGCCAGGGCGCTGCTGCTCACGGAGCCCACCAGGGAGAGGACCAGGTCCAGGCGGGGGACGAGGATGGCCAGGACGCCTGTGGGAGAGGACGGGCGGGTGGGTCGTCCGTGCGAGCTGAGCTCCTGGGCTTGTTCCTAAAATCCTTTTCTTAACGCGCGGAAGCTCCCGGCCCTCGCACCACCAGTTCCGTCGAGAAACCGAAACCCCTCGCCCCGGGCCTGGCAGGAGGCTGCGTGGGGGATGTGGCTCCTTCCTCTTTC